GAATATGATACCATTCCAGGAGGAATCACAAACTCTTCTACTTATAATCATTGTTCTCTAAGAGTTTAGCTTTTAGTGTTAATTAAAACCATATATTTAACTTAGGGGTCCATGAAATGAGCCAAGGACAGAGGAATGCAGAGGCTTGCTAAATGAATATGGGTCAACTGGGATCCACCCTCAAGGAGGATTGCATTGCAGCACACACATCCTATGAGCTTTCAGCCCAGCTCCTAGGTCTATGTGGTAGACTCTTTTTGGAAAGGCCCAAAATGAAGATCATTTGTATAAATTAGTATAAATTGAGATAGACTAGGGATGCATCTAGAGTACCTCATAATATGAGAGCAACTTTCCTTTTCGAAGTGGGCAAAGCATTTGAAGGAATGCACAAAAGCAAAGGGCTATCTCTAGTTAGGGCTCCTATTGCAAGAGGGAAAAACAAAACAACTACTTTAAAATCCCCTAATTTAAAGGAGAACTAAAGAGTTAGTCAAATAATTGGGCGGTCCAGGATCCAGCTGCCGTTCTCTGCAGACTCAAGGATATTTTCAGGACTCTGTTAATCTCTTTGAATCTTCAGGCTGATGTTCATCTGAGGTTCCAGGCCAGGGGACAAGACAGCATGGCATTCTGGTGGCTTAAGCCCTAGCTCCAAGTTTGGCTGTGATTGCCCCAGTTAGGAGTGGGTGAGCTGGTACAAGTCAGCATTGGAGCTTTTCTGGCATGTTTCTTTGCTTGGCTTCCCTGTCTGTTTTCTCTCTGAGCTTCAGTTTGGTCCCTTGCATTGATCTGTTTTGCAGGAGCGTTGTCTTCTATTGTACCCATTCTATTTGTCATTAAATCAAGAATTTCAATTTTAAAATATTTATTTTACTTTTTAAACCCATATATATATATTTGTTCAAAGAAGCATTATTTAAAATGGGAAATCCTGGAACCAAGAATAAATTGTCAAATGGAAAGGAAAACAATACTGTGTCATTCAGAGAGTGGGCTATCATGTAATAATGAAAATGGTAGAATGTGGATGAGATTTAACATGGGTGAAAGTTAGAAACACAAAATTAAGAAAAAGAAGTCAGATATAAGATAATCTGTCATTATATCTATGTAAATTTCAAGTGTAGATGGAAGTACTTAGAAATCAATGTTTAGGTAACCAAAGTATAAATAAAAGCAAAGAAACAGTTATTGACAAGGCCAACAGAGTTCCTTTTAAGTAGGTGCATTACATTTCACAAAAAAGTTCAAGATAAAGGAAAAGGAGGTAATTTTTTGGCAAACTCATGAGACATAAACAGTATACATGTGACTTTTACCATTGTAGTCACATCTAGTGCCTTCTTCAAACATTCTCGTAGACTGCTTGTCCTGATGCTGTCTCTTGTGGTCTGAATTTCTCACTCTTGACTTAGAAAAGTGATTAGTAATGCTATTTCCAGATGTCCTCTGTTATTGGACAGAGAAGTCAGAGGTCATGCTATAAAGAGTAATATTACCTGTCTCTACATTAATATTCTGGGAGAAGTCCCAGGAGTGTGGGTTAATCTACAGTGGTAAGTAAAGTGGAACTAACACAAGTGAGAAGTAAATTCTAACTTTAGGTGGTGGATTAAACAGAGATTTGGAAATCCTTACAAAATAGCCCATATGTATTGTTTAGTATTTGCTAAGGCTAATGTACCAAGAGTGTTACATACATACTTTTCACATTTTTACAAACTAAATGGATCATATTACAGTGGAGGAAACTAATGTTTAGGTAATGTGCTGGGACTGAAATTGGTCACCTGATCCTTGAGCCCTGGCTCTGAACATCACCCTGACACAGCTGCAGTAAAGCGGAACAGTGGCTCCCAGGCCTGAATAATACTGCAGGGGTCCACTGTGTAAGCTGTCACTAAGCAATGGAAGTGTGGGGAAGCTCAGTATTTCAGAGGCCTAAGCTAGGAACTCTTCAGGAAGACAGAGTCCTCCTGCCAATAGAACTTTGTTCTTAGCATCTCTTTGAGTTAAGCCGTTTTAACTTTTAAAAAACTTCATTGAGAATTTCATATGCATATAAGGTGTTTTGATCAAATCCATGCCCACTCCCTACACTTCAACACCTCCCATGTCTCCCCAACACTTTTTCTCCACAACTTCATCCTCTTTCTTTCTTCTTTCTTCTTTCCTTCTCTTTCTTTCTTTCTTTCTTTCTTTCTTTCTTTCTTTCTTTCTTTCTCTCTCTTTTCTTTCTTTCTCTTCCTTTCTTTCCCTCCCTCCCTTCCTTCCTTCCTTTCCTCCTTCCTTCCTACCTTCCTTCCTTCCTTTCATCCTTCCTTCCTTCCTTTCCTCCTTCCTTCCTTCCCTCCCTCCCTCCTTCCTTCCTTCCTTTCCTCCTTCCTTCTTTCCTTCATTTCTCCTTCCTTCCTTCCTTCCTTCCTTCCTTCCTTCCTTCCTCTCTCTTTCTTTCTTTCTTTCTTTCTTTCTTTCTTTCTTTCTTTCTTTTTCTTTTCCTTTGGTCTTTTTGAGACTGGTTCTTCCTGTAGCCCCAGATGGCCTGGAACTCACTAAGTGCTTGCTGTCAAGCCTGACTATCTGAGTTCAGTCCCTGGAACTCATATAATGGCAGGAGAGAACAGACTCCTATAAGTTCTCCTATGACCGACTGTGTGTATTCTTATCACACCATCCTCTGAAAAGGTGCCCACATTGCCAATAGGGAATTGGGACACAGACTGCTCTGGCTTCTTCCATGCTGAACAGGGATGTAGGGTGAGGCAATTGGGATATCCCTTCAGTGGGTCTATCTAAAAGACTCCCAAATTGCATAACTTATCTGTAGGGAGAAAATGAAGTCCTTGACTGGTGAATACGGGATGTGAAGGAGAAGTAAAGGCAAGAGTAGTTAGCATTACAAATTCTAGACGGGGAGCCAGAAAAGTCAGAACAGGGCAAATTTCAAATGCTCATATCACAGTCCATTGGGATTTCTTGATGAGAGCTTCTAAAAGCACCCCTCTTTTGGGTTCCTCCTCATTTTTCTTTTGTCTTCCAAGGCTGGCTTGAGAGTGATGGACTTAGGGTTTGTTTTCAGGCACATTGATAGCTGTTGGAGTGGCTAGAATCAATGTCAGTTCCCTCACAAAGGCTTCTAGATAGGGGGAGAACAATAGCTGGTTGTCTCCCTTAGCTACAGGTGGGCACTACAATATTGGAGACCAAGATTTGAAGTCTTACATCTGGGCAGCACTGTCTGCTTAGGAATAAAATCATCAATGAGAAATAATTGTCTAAATAACATTTTTTTTTGGTCTATTTGAGACAGGGTCTCCCTGTAGCCCCAGCTGGCCTGGAACTCACTATGTAGACCAGGGTGGCCTCGAACTCACAGAGATCTGCCTGCTTCTCCCTCCCAAGTGCTGGGATTAAAGGCGTGTGCCACCATGCCTGGCCAAAATAACATTTTATGTGACTTAAGCTTAATGTCTGGGAAGTATAATCCCTTGAACTCCTAAAGAAATATACTGATCACTGTAATCTTTGGTTATACTTTCCTTTCGGGTGTTTAAGACCATACAGTTGGCCCAAATAAACCAATTTATTTTTACTCTTCAGGTCATTGGAGGATCTGTTTCTTAGTGATCACATGGACTTGGGAGGAGCCCCTGACTCCTTTCTTGTACCAGTTCCATCTATGTGAAGATCAGTCAAAGGTCCTGCTCGACATGTCTGGCTTCACTTGGAAGCATGGAGGAAATGTTTCCTCTGAGTTGACCCTCCTCTTTGTAGACTGGGCACTTGTTCAAGTCCATCTGGTGGGGGTCTCTATGGCCTCTTTGGAGTTAAGCTGTTTTTATAGCAAGGCTGGATATATCAGGCTTTCTTAGCTTTGAGATATTAAACATTTTAATTCTGCAAATAATCTCTTATCCTTTGAATTTTTATTTTTCACAAGCAGCTTTCTAACTAGAATTTTGCTTTAAAATATACTCAATTTGGAATTTGGAGTCTGTGTTAATTTGAATATTGTGACGTGGGAAGCAGCTTTAATTTTTACCTGAGATATGCTTTATTGGGGGAATACTGCTATGTATCCAAACTCAGTATCTAGCATGGTCAATGACATGATAATTTCTCATATTTTCTCTTTTATTTAGAATATATTAATTGAACAAACGTAATTGGTCGCATTAATATTAAAAAATATTTCTCTTTATGTGCATGAGTGTATTGCTTACATGTAGGTAGGTGTACCATGTCATGCAGTGCCCTCGTAAGTAGGAAGAGGGTGTTGGATCATCTGGAACTGAGGTTACAGAAGTTTAGCTACCACGTGGTGCTGGGAGTCGAACAAGCACAGCCAGTGTTCTTAACTGCTGAGCCGTCTTTCCAGTCCCTCATTAAGACTTTTGGTTTGTTTGTTTGTTGTTTTTGTTTTTGGTCTTTTTGAGACACGGTATTCCATGTTGATCTGGAATTCACTATGTAGACCAGGGTAACCTTGATCTCACACATAGAGATCCACCTGCCTCTGACTATCCAGTGCTGGGATTAAAAGAGTGCATCATCATGCCTGGCTAAGACACATTTTTATACTTGTATCTAATATACTTTGATCATTTTACTCCCCCCATCACCTGTACTTCCCCCTTCCTGCTGGTCTCCTTCTTTTTCTTAAATAATCCCTCTTTCTGCTTTCATGTCTCTTTTTATTTTTTATTTTTAAAAATATTTTATTTATTATTTTTATTTTAGGTCTATGTGTATATTGCCTGCATGTAGGTAAGTTCACCCATGTCGTGCAATGCCCACAGAGGACAGAAGAGGCTGTTGGATCCCCTGGAACTGGAGTTTGTGGATAGTTGTTAGCTGCCATGTGGGTGCTTGGATTCGAACCCGGGTCTTCTGCAAGAACAGTCAGTGTTCTTAACTGCTGAGCCATCTCTCCAGCCCCCATGTCTCTTTTTTATAAACTGAAGTTCCATATATGAGAGAAAACATGGCATTTGCTTAAAAATATTGAACAGTTCATGAATTTGTATGTGATCCTGCACAGGGGTCATGCTAATCTTTTCTACATCATTCTAATAATCATATATGTGCACACAGAACACAGTGTAACAGCTTTATTTCTGTCTACTAATGTATTAGCATTCTTATTTACACAGTTATTTATCATGCTATACAAATTGTGAATGTTCTCATTAGTACTTGAACTTTGATAAAAGGTTAGGAAGATGGGGCCTTCGCAATGGGTTTAGTGCCAACCTGAGAAGCCAGGAAGTTAGCATCCTCCAGCCCTCCGTACGTGCACAAGGACAATGGAGAACAGGGACAAACAAAGAACGGGGTTCTTACCAGAAGCCAGCGGTGTTGGTGCCCTAATCACGGTTCCTTGATTCAGAAGTGTGAAAAAGTAAATTTCTGCTAATTAAATCACTCAGATTTTGATATTATTTTATGAAAGCCCCAATGACTAATATTGAAAAATTCAATAGAAAATAGGAGAGCAAATCTTCTTTGAATGTCTGAGGCATGGTCTGACAGTGGTGGGACAGGATCCTGAATTCTGAAGTGACCCAAGAGAATGAAGAAGCTAGAGGGCATCACCTGAGGGAGAGGGACTCTGAAGAATAGCCCTGGTTTCCGTTAAGGCTGGGCTATGCTTGGTGTTCTGTAGTAGGCCTGTCATTTGGAGACTCCCAGTTCCCTGCGTCTGTTTATTGGGCGGAGAAGGGCCACCACTGTCCTCAGCACTGAGAGACCTTGGCAATGTCAAGAACGTGACTGGCTAAAAATCTTTCATTACATAGTATTCCTTTCACTGGTCATCTTTTCCTTGCTGGAAAAGAATGAGGTTTTAAAAGCCAGGGAATTCTGTTAGTGAGGTTTTAAGTGATGTTTGATTTTTATTTTAGAGCCTAGGCATCTGACCATGAGTTTTCCAAGTCAAACAGCAGCTTAAATGGAAGAGGCTTTGAAGTCAGAGGCCTGCAGTGCAGTGATTCTCTCTCTCTCTCTCTCTCTCTCTCTCTCTCTCTCCTCCCCCCCTCCTGAAATAGAGGGTGAGATCAGATGAGAAATTTGTACAGATACTGTTTGTATTTCCCTACATAGAAGGTGATTTCTTAAGAGCTTGCTCTATAAATTCCACTTAGCTTCTATATTTTACCCATTTTTTTAACACATAAGAAAAAACTCAAACAGTGTGTTGAGGAAAACTTAACCATGCTGTTATTCCTTTAAAACATGGAAACTGTCATATTTACCCTTCACTTTTAAAATAAGGAATAGAAAAATCATACTTCTGGAAGGTCACATAGCAAGCCAAGGTCAATACTGTTTTTTTTTTTTTACAATATTGAAGCCTTTAAAAAGAACATAAATGTCTGGGTAACAGTAGCTATCCTTCATATTGTACTAACAACTTGCCAGGCTCGTACTTGCTTGGTACCTTGCATGGCTTTCCCCTGTTACTAGGTGTTATATAGTGAACATTAGATGTCCCCTAGAGACTCATGTGTTTGAACACCTATTTCCCAGCAGGTGGTGCTGTTTCAGGGAGGTTATGGAACCTTTTGACTATGTTGCTGGCAGATGAAGGCTGATAGGGATAAACAGTGAGGATTATACCCACCTCTGCTTCTGGGCCAGGTCTTTGCTTCCCCATACACCAACATGTGCACAAACTGCACTGCAAGTTCCCACTAACAAAGACTGAACCCGGTTGGCACCATGCCTTCCCTATCAACATAATGTACCCTCTGAAACATTGAGCCATAATAATTCCCTGCTCCCTCAAGTTGTTTCTGTCAGGTATTTGTCACAACAATAAGACAAGTAGCTAACACCTAGGATAAACTTAGTGAAGGCATTTGTGATGGGTAATGACACTGAGGTTCAGAGTTGTTCAGTAATTGGACCAAGATGTGCTGCTTATAAGAGTTTGGGTTAGAATATGGAACAAGATCCTAGTCTCAAAATTCCATTTGTTTCTATTGTCATGCCATAGAGCATCTACACACTTACATTTCTGGAAAGGTTCCGTGAATCATTAATTTTTCATTCTTGAACAAAACACTTTCAATGAGAATAAAAATTAACATTAATGGTCCAGAGGTTTTAATGTTTTTCATACCTTTACCATTGAAATTATTTAGGACAAGGCTAATTAAAGAAACAAAGCAGGCATATGTGTATGATAAGAATGAAGGTAAGTTAGAGACTAGGGCTACGTTTCTTAGTAGGTCTATCCATGCTTCTATAACCAACTCTCAAGGCTAGTGACGTGCAGAATTTGAAGTAATTATAATGATTCATGTTTATAAAGTATCTTTTAGGCCATGAATTGTCTGGAAGACAATTGGACCATAAATGAAGCCATGGTGTGGAGATGAATTTAGCCTTTTCTGGAAAACTTGCATTGGATTGAGGTTTCTAGGGAGAATAGGGAATTGGTCACAAATCACTAGAAAAGCAATCTATCTGCAAAATATAATAAATATGAAAAAAGCTTGGAACTGGTAACTGGGTTATGTTATGGCCTGAGTCTAAAATGTCCCCTGTAGGCTAATGTGCTCAAACACATGGTCCTCAGCCATTTGGGAGGCTGCAGAACCTTCAAGAGATGAAACTTCACTGGAGGATGCAGGCTACCTTGAGCAGTATGTGAGCAAGACACCGCTACACACTCCTGCTGCAGCAAATGAGCAGCTTTCATGCCTCCCCACCCTGATGGACTGGACTCTCTGAAACTGTGAGACAACATACATTTCTCCTCCCTTGTTTTTGTCATATATTTTGTCCCAGCAGCAAGAACAGTAAAGAAAATAGCATTTTGCAGCAATGTGTAAAAAGAAGAGTTGCCTCACCCCACGTCCCTGTTCAGCATGGAAGAAGCCAGAGTGGTCTGCGTCCCTATTCCCTATTGACAATTTGGGTAATCTCTTCAGAGGATGGTGTGATAAGAATAGGAGGTAGGAATTGGTGAGGCAGTTAGAGCAAAAAGACCCCAAAGAAATATAGCCAGTTTCTTTACTAAAAGTCAAAATGTCCTCGGGCCTCTTAGCAACATAGTCTGTTCCAAAGGCCCAAAATGTCAAAAGTATTTGGGAGCTTATATCTAATCCTGAACAGATTTTAGGGTTACCTCTTCAGAGAGGAAATGTTGGAGAGGGTGGGTGGGTGTGGATTTGATCAAAGCAACTTATGTACATGTATGAAATTCTCAATAAAGTTTTTGTAAAAGTTAAAAAAAGGGGGGGTGGCTCGAGAGATGGCTCACCGGTTAAATAGAAGACCGGGTTCAAATCCCAGCACCCACATGGCAGCTAACAACTGTCCATAACTCCAGTTCTTGGGGATATGGCAGCCTCTTCTGACCTCCGTGGGCATTGCAGGACACGGGTACACTTACCTACATGCAGGCAATACACACATACACATAAAATAAAAATAATAAATAAAATATGAAAAAAAGTTAAAAAAAAGAAGAGTGATGAAGTTGAGGTCGCTCTAAGAACTCAGGGCAAGAAGCAGGTTATCTGGAAAAGCAGAGTGTAACAACCTCACGCATCAAAGGGGAGTAATGCTGAGTCTGCTCAAAAGTCTGTCTCCGTGGAGAGGGAAGGTGGCTCATTAGATTGCCTTGTCTTCATAGTAATGTTTCTAGATAGTTCAACTCTTCTCCTGGTCCCGATTCCATATTTCTTAGCAACTTTCAAGTGATAATCGAGTTTCACAAGTAGATTTCTAACTTGGAAAGGAAATGAGTAGACAAAGTGACATGATAATCCAACCTGCTTGGCTTTCGCTGGAAATTCAGATCCCAGATTGTGTTTGATGTAGCTGGGTCTTGCAGGGCAAGTCTCTTTGGGTTTGACTTCTCAAAGTCCTGTTTCTGTAGAACTGAGATTAGCAACCACTTACATTTGTATTAATTTAAAGCTTGTAAAGTCCTTAACCATGTCATTTTTTTTCTTTTTTAGTGGGAGTCTCATTATATAGCCCTAGCTGGATTGAAATTTGCTATGTAGACCAGGCTGGCCTTGAATTCATAGAAATTTTCCTGCCTCTGCCTCTTGAATGCAGGATTAAAGGCCTGGCTATCATACTATCTTATTTGATTCTTGGATGCCAGGGGTTCGAACCCGCGACCCCCAGCGAGGTGAGGATTGGGGATGAGTAAGCACGCTGTTTGCCAGCCCACGCCTCCCCCATTACCTGGGGACACTCAGACGCATCGGGGAGTCTTGGGCAGAGACTCATTTATTGCAAGTGTTCCAAAGCTTATAAAGGCACCTGGAAATCCCCCCCGCCCCAGGGTGTATCTTAGGGATGGTCACACGCTGATCATGCGCTCCTCAGCAGTGCGGAAGTATCCATCAGACTTTCAAAGCAAGCCAGGCCCGGTCCCCAGTAACTTCCTTTCGGACCTATGCAAGGTGGGGCCTTTAGGTCCCCACACTTGTAGTGTCTGTGAGGTAGTGTTTTTTTTTTTTTTAAATTTTTAACGTAGGAAACTCAAGGCCACACAAGTTTTAAAACAGAACACAAGGCCCAGGGCTTCGAATACTAAATGCAGAACTTCTTACTATGAGGAGATAGGTAGATGTGTAAATACTCATGAAACTGAGTTTGTATCAATTTTCAGTCTTACCACTATTTGGGGGGACGGGAAGAGGGATTCTTACAGCTTATTCAGGCATCACCTCCATCTCTACATCCTCTCTGTCCCTAAGGAGTCATTTGCTCACTTTCTGACTCTATAGGGTTTTTATTCTTGGTATTTTAAATGGAGCCATGGAGCATGAAGTTCTTTATGCTCCTTTTGTGTACGAAAATGTTTTCAAAGTTTATTCACATTGTAGCACATGTGAATGTTTCAGTCCTCTTTACTGCCAGACAATATTCCGTAGTATACAAATACAAACAAATCACATTTTGGTGATCATGCACAGTCGATGGACA